AAAGGCGATAATGATTATTCAGCGGCTGAGACATGACAAAAATGTTAAGTTATTAATTTTTTATTCAAGTTTGTTTTGATGGCCATCGAAACTCATTCAATATTGAGTAGATGGGTGTGCTCTATGAAATGGACATGACTCTCAGCTAATTCATTGTAATGCTTGCTCATACACATATATGAAACGACCTAATTGGTTTTTCGAGTTTTTAGTGAATTCATCAATAAATAAATAATTTACTCAAGAACACCACCACTATTATTCGTAGCAATATGTGTATGAGATGAAGTAGTAACAACTTAAAATGTTATCAAATATCACGTTGAAAATCAATGAGCTGTATGATGATTAAGTAAAAGTTTTTGTATAAAATCACAAACCGAAGAAAATGTTGTACCTACTATTTATTCATATAAACGCGTACTAAAATCGAACAATTTCCAATAGAATTAATTTTTTATTATTGAAAAAATAAATTATAAAACCATGCCTATACATATAAGTAATCCATCTAAGCCTAAAAATCTATTTGATAATGATAACAAAAAATATTACATATCCGAACCCTAATATCCGAAATCTATGACAATTAGTGACGCGTGCTTGTATACTGACAAAGACTATATGATTTTTTTTATTTATAAATTAAATTTTCATCGATATGAATGCAGTACAAACAATGTATCTTTAGTAAGTGTACAAACATCGAAATGAATTAATGGTCCACAACGAATTATCAGGGAAAAAATGTACCATGTACGAGTTCGCAACTCTGCAATTACCTATATAATACACATTAATATATAATAAACTATAAATCCACTTTTTTTTTTTTTGTTGAACGCCATGAAAAAAAAAAAGTATGATATAAATCTAATGGAACAAATTAATTTTGAGTACAAAGGTAATAATATAATAACTTATTTAATTTAATTACGATTCATATTTCATATATATAGTAAATTATAGTATAATGTATAATAAATAATTTGACCTTTAGACATATTATTAACACTTTACAGTCGATTTTGTATGTGTAAAATTTTAGAAATTTTAATACATGTTTAATACTTGAATTTTCGGAAGATATAAAGTAAAACTAATATTTATTTATTTTTTCATTTATCATTATATTATTATAACATGCATGTGCATGTTTCACGTTTTGTAAATAGTTAAATAGTTAAATACAAAATCAACTTTTATGATTATGGCTTAAACAATAATAATATGCCGTATATAACTATTACACAATTATTATACTGGAGTAGTTCATAAATTTGTTCAAGTATATATCACTGCAGTCTGTAGGTGATCAAATGTAAATATTGTCGTTCAAAATATTTACAAAAATCATAATATTTATTATTTTAAATAAATCGTTAATGAATAAATAACTATAAATATATAATGTTTATATATGCATAACAATATATTTTATAACAAGAGTCGTAGTTGATATAAATATTTCTTTTTAGAAGTAGTAAAAGTCTACACGTGTCGAAATCGAGTAAAATGTAACAAAAATATATATTATGTTTAAAAATACTATAGATATTTGTATCTCACACTATATTGATTGATTTATAAAATTGCGAAAATTTGTTTAATCAAGCTGAAGTCGATACATTATACAATAAATTATAGGTAATATAAATATAGATATAATAAGAATAATAGTATTATATATACAAAATAGTGTGCCAAATTTAGTTCGAAGTAACTTTATTATTCTTAATCATTTTTATAAATCGCCAATTCATATATTTTCGACATAATAATATTACATATTATAATCATTTAAAATTCTAAAATAAGTATAACTATATTATATGAACATTAAATATACTATATATACTATTGTATATTATGCTAATATATAATTCTAGTTATTTAATATTTTGTTGTGTATAATAATTGAAATATTCGAAACGACAAAATTAATCAAAAACGATTTAAAGTTATTTTATTCGACAGGCGCGCAAGACACGATCGATTTAGAAAAATTCTATTGTAAATAATAATAATCAATGGGACCTATAATATAACACGATGGCGCCGGAACTTACGAACTGCGTGAAAGCAATAATGTTATTGACAAATGAAAATTTTCGATTAAAATACGCATCAAAGCGTTAATAAAAAATTGGAATTATGATTTCATATCCGTCGTTGGGCACACCGATTATGAAATGATAAAGAAAATACATCATCTGCCGACCGAATGATCGTATACGACTTGCGCAACATGCAAAGACATCGCGAATTTTGGTTTCCTTTTAAACGTCATTCGTCTCGGTCCTATCCGACTATCCCGTCCAGCGTGCTGTGTTTATATACACAATAAGGTATACCTACAGCTTATGATTTCATTACAAAAACTACGTGTACCTACCTACGCGATATTAAAACACAATGTAAAAAACGTAGGTACATATGGATATGGTTATGTAAAGAAAAAAATGTAATCCTGTCCCGCTGTGTAACCAAAACGTCAAAAACGGAAAAGGAATAAGAGGAACACACACATTGCAACAATGACCATAACAGCGACATGATATATCGCATAATCGTGAACATACTTATTATTTCACACGTTAATTATATACATATATTATGTCCACTGATTATTGTTATATCATAATTCATAACCATAGCTTTTAACGTCAAAGACGATAATTATACGTAATCACATTCTTTGAATATTTTGTTGTGAGTCGGAGACCGTAATATATTATTTTTAAATAATGTGCACATAGAGAGTAATAATAATATATTGTTATTTGTTCAATCTCGACGAGAGATTTTAACGCCTGCTTCGTTCTCAAAAATGATTTAGCTGCAGTTGTTTTCGAATTAGTTCATTGTTATGAGTTTTCATATGTATAAAGATATTTTATATTCGTTAGTACGTTATGCGAAAGGTCATGTGAATTTTTCTAATGCTTATATTATAAACTATAAGCTCCTTCATACTTAAGTATTAAACAAAACTACAATGAACAACGATTTCGCACGTTTTTAGGATTAGAGGCTGTACCCGGGTCAAGGTATAAGTGTGATAAAAATAACAGTGACAAAACCACCGGATCGTATAAAAAATTAAATATAGTAAAACATATCTGTCAATTCACGTAACAAAAAATTTGAGGTTGAACAAAATTAAACGTTAAGTACTCATAAACTATTTGAAATTATGAAAGATGCAAAGCATATTACACAATAAAAGAAATCGTGTAAGAAATGTGTCTTGAAAAATGTTTGCATGTGCATGGAACTTAATACAATAATTTTATAAATAGAAAAAATATTATAATGTATATAATAAGGTTATACTTACAAATCTATAAGTAATATTTAAGTTTATATTAATAGTTTTATACGTTTAGAGCCACTTTAAATTTTATTTTTAAATACATTTTGAATATAATTTTATAAACCTAATACAATTATATAAACATTTTCAAATATTTTAAACGCTTAAAAATACAAAATCGAATACCCGTGCATTCATAATATAAGAATAATATATATAAGTTGCTTAATAGTCGAAATAATAAAATAAAATATTTCATTTGAGACAGGGTACCTATAGGCTATATAGGTAGGTATGATATACAAGATGTACAAACATAGTATAATTTAACATAGCGTATATAATATAGGTATATAATTTGTTCATCCTAAACATCTCACGTGTTGTAGAAAATATACCTGTTCTTTCTATATATATATAAATATATATTTAGTTTTGAGGGTTGTAATAGCTGATTGTCGAAACCATAAAATATTATGTAGACACGTAGAATTATATATTTATTATACTACAATGAATACACTATATATAATACACGAATATCCTTTTTTCTCACTTTATAATAGCAGAATCTTGGTTGTAGCAGAGAAAATAAGTCGTCGGGGATCACTACAATTGTTAACAGGTAGTGGGATGCATTATATAGACTAATATTTAATCCGGTCTGTAAGCGTTTCAATTATTATATACAACTACTGAACCAGCCTGCTATAACATATACCTATACATAAAAACGTACAATGAGAAAATAACAAAAATGTCATTTCTTGTACGAGTGACCAACTTAAAACATGTTCATATGGACATTAAAAATTTAGAAATATATTCTATCACTGGGACATATTCATGGATTTGTCGCACCACTCCTACAAAAAGTCATAAAGAATGTATTTCCCGAAGCATTTCGACTTTCAAAAAAAGTTTGACCTGTGAGTATACACATTTTTAAATACATGTGCATTACTATAATATATTATATAGAGTCAAATAATATTTGATTACATAAAAATAGACATTTATAAGTAAATGTTATTAAATGAAATTATGCTTTTAACTATTGTTATTTCTATAATGTGTTAAATTATGTATAACAAAATTAAATTTTTTCAGTCTCATATTCTGTAAAAGAGAATATTTTTTTGAGGATTTTAAGGTATAAATATAAAGTATTGAAATAGTATAATTAATTAAATTATGAATGTTTTTCTTAAAGTTTAAACATCGCTAAAGTATGATTTACAGTGTAATTGTTTTCAAAACTTTATATTGTTGCGATGATAATTTGAAAAAAAAAAACAATAATTTTTAATACGTATAAATTTACTTAGAAAATTTAAAAAAAAAATTTAATTTATTTGCTAAATTTTTTTTTCAGTTTCATGATACAAGACTACAAGAGCAAACACAATATTATTTGTACAATTATACAGACTATAAATAAATTACACTTTATATTAGTATTCATGATTTTAAGCGTACAATTTGACGATAATCGATTATCGAGTCCAATATTATAGATGTACGTGAAATCCGCGCTTAAGGACTTACTGCACTGCGTTGTACATAAATAAAGCGATACGTTTCGATGGCGCCGCATTATAAAGTCAATTAATTAATAATATTCTCGCATAATACAACATAGTTAAAATATAATCCGATAATTATTACAATTATTAATACTCACGGAATGCACTCGGAGAGGGCGTCGATGGTCGTCCGGCGTATGTGTACACGGGCGAGTGCTAAAACCGATAGTAACGACGTTGTTTTTCGAAATCTATTTCTGACGGGTAACCGACGGACGAACAACTCGAACGGCGGAAGTACGCGAGCGTATTGAGACGATTGCGCGCGGAATGACCGTCGCGGGACACCGGAGAACGCGTTTTGGAAGTACTCGGCGGCAGTGGCGTCGGTGGTCGCGTCTCTCGTCGGTAGAGTGGCGGGAAGAACGGCCACCGGTGGGGTGGTGAGAGGTTCGCTCGGTGGTCGGCCGCCGAAAGGAAAAGTGAAGAGACGTGGCGGCGGCTGCTTCGGGTGTGAGCGCGCGTGTCGTTGGCATTGGTGGCACCAAGGTCGCGACGGCGGCGGCAGTAAACAACCGACACGTTTTCCACCTGCTAAGGTATGGAAAAAAACCAGCCCTTTTTTTTTCTTCATAAAAACACTATTTTAATACATTTTTTTTTCTACTCGACAACGTTCCCGTCACTGCCATCGAAGGAATTCTCGGCCAAGACGATTTAAATATAATGTTGTTGTTGTTGTTGTTGTTGTACAGTAGGTAAAATCTGGATGGCCGGATTTATGTTGATGTACGCCTTAAGAGTTACAAACGTTTCAATATGCTATAAATATCAATACGACAGATTAAAAAGTTATAAATGTATACCAAATAAATAACATACATGTATTATAATATACACGCATCTATTTATAAACTATAATTACGGTATATAGGTATTTTAAAAGTGCCTCATGACATTTCTGTAGAGCAATTATAGCGTGTTATATTAAAAGTTCTCTCGTATTTAGAACACATTTTCTCAAATATTTGAATTTAAATAGCAATTTATTCTGATTTGAAACCTAAAGAAAAAAAATTATTAAATTAATATGAAATGTATCCATCAATTTCAATCAATAAATTATTTATTGCATTAAAACACAAAATATTAGTTTAAAAACTCAAATACGTCAAAGTATGTATAATTATGTTGATTAAAAATTGTTTAAATCAAAATTGGACTCATAAAAGTCAACTGTACTTGGTATTTCCTATTGTCTAATTCCGAATACGTGTTTCAAACTGTTCGCTTAAATAAAATCTGTGCTGTGTCTAGCGTCCTCTCTACTTAATTATGTAATTACGTCATACCACCGTCGTTATCATTTTAAATTTATTACGATTTATTATTGTCATAGTATACGCATTGTCATTCACGATAGCATTTTTGGCAAGCGCTTCAGTGACGACGGTCTGAATATTTTTCATTCTCTGTCACTCTATCCATTCCCCCCTTTATATACGCACGTCCCCCGCAAAGTTATGTCGCATACGCTATCGTGCGGTGTGACGAAAACACTAATATTACATAGCATCGATTAAATACAATAATGTTATTACGAATAAAAATCAATACACATAGCACACTTAATTCAGCCATACGACGAAGATGGTGGTAACAAAAATATTATATTATCATGATGTCGCGACGGGCGCAACGTTCGCGACTGTCCCGCCTTCGAAAATACACGATACTTGCGTGGGTCGTTTAATTATCGTGGGCAAGTGTATTATATTGTATTACATGATGGATCTATAATACGTCGTATTTTGATCGGCGGATTAGTCGGTTACGCCTTTATAACATTATAATATAATATAAAATCACTAGGTATAGTATTTCACGTTCATATCGATATTTATTTTAAATACATTTTTATTGAAATTTCACTTTTTTTGCATCAGTCAAATTTGTTTTTTTCGGTCAATGCGCGTAACAACAAATATATATTATTATTCATAACGTCATCGTAATTCATAGTTTTTTATTTATTGTGATCGATTTTAAGGAACATATCATTTTATTTGTATTATGATATTAATATATTATGATGTCTTACTAACAACGATTATAGATACTTTTTCGGGTAATTAAAATAAGTTTCGATGGTCTTTGGTCTTTGCAAACATCTTTTGTAATTATCTTCAAACTTCAAATTGCAGCAAATTTATTTGTAACATTTATACTCGTATGTTCATTTTTCAATTCTTTTTTCTACTCACACGTCAATTTCTCTAAAATAAGAAGATATTATACCTAATGTTAATATTAACTATCACTACAACTCATACTGAAATGACCAACTTTCTTTAAGTAAAAACTTAATATATGTGCGTAATGAATGACACAATGTATTGTTCTAAACCATTTTCAGATGGTTTTCAGACTTTCAGTGATGAAAATCTAGAATGGCCATGTGGATAAGTGTTTTATGAAAAAATCAGTGTATCGCCTACAATAAAATAAAATATATGCCTCTCCTTGATTAAGTACGTTTTAAATCATTTTGACTACGAGTGGGTGCAGGGAAGTTAAAACTCATGTTTTGTCTCAACTGTTTAAATAATAAGTGTTGTTCATAGCTACATACCAAATATACATCATTTGATCATTCTATATATAGCTATATATGTACTTTTCGTATGTGGTTTTATTTCTATACACGCAACGCCCATTACATTCTGACAAAAACCAACAATTTTACGATAAAAGCTAACAACATTTATTATTAAAATATTATAAAAACCAAAGATAGTACGATGAACCATTAATAGGTACGTCGTGTGTTATTATTATACGCGTATACGAAATTAAAATATTACGAGAGGAAAAGTATGTAGGTAATCAATAAATATATTTAAGTAATATATAATATAATAATAGAGTCTATCAGACATCCTAAGTGTTAGTAACAATCCGACCTTGTAAACTGTTGCATATTATGAAAACTAATAATTTGAAGACATCGATTTTTTTCGAAGTATGTAGATACTCGCGCCATGCCACGCTACAGCTATAGTGACGTGATATAATGTAATACTGATTAATGTAAGTATAATAAATCAATATAATAATATTCAAATTACCGTTTATTATTATAATATAATTGGTTGCAACTGTGCAACTATTTAAGTAATTATACGCTTCATACAGTGCATCACAAACACAATTAAGTATCGGGATTTTTGTATGATATTATAAATTGTGGATATTTTTACATTTTCCGATTTCTATAGCAAAATAATACCAGAATAACCTACATTTTATTAGTTCTTGAATGATGGTTTTAATAAATTGTGTATACATTTTATTTCCATATTTTTTTATCAAATCCGTGTACCTTATTTTATATTTATACCACATACGAATAATTAAAACAGTTATTAACTCTCGAAGAAAGTAATTCGAGATCTGTGAAGTTTTGTAATAAAAAAATAATGTCTTGAAAATTTAACTCCACGCAATGAAAAATCGTAATCGATACGACGTTATAATACATTTAAATATGATGTTGGATCTCTGAAAAAATATTTTGTATACGTACAACACCGTTCACTGACTTTTTGAAAATATAATATTAGGGGAGAAAACAGGTTTAACCCTCGTTAAGACCAACCAGGAAAACTTGTATAAGACATTATTGTACATAATCGACTGAAATTTAATTATATACATATATAGTATAAAAAAAGGGTAAATGATTTATTAACTGAACATAATTTGACTGAACATTTATTTAGGTATCTGATAAATATTTGAAAATATTTATTTTAAACTTAATAAAAAAAAAAAAATTAAAGAAACTTCAAGTAACTTCTAGAATAAATGTTTTGATAGCTATGAAAAAAGCTATAGTATCAATATTAAACTAAAAATTGACTTATAAAAATTAAAAAAAACAAAACGATTACATTATAATAAGATTAAGGTCAATAAAATTAAAATTAATATTATGTGACCACGTCATCGCCATCGATTTCGTTACTAATTTTTATGACGTATTCAGGACAAAGAGGGAGTGATGAATCGAAGAATAGGTAGACGACTGCTAAGATATTACTAATGGATGCATTATTATTTTTATAATAATTCATATTTATATAATCAACTATGAGCCGGATATACTTTGCTACTTTTCAGGTGGGGGATAAGCTAACCTAACATAATAATATTTACAGACTATAGTCATCGTTTCAATTTTTTAGAAGGCCACATTGTCGATGGATCGGTACGTTAAAAACATGTTATTATTTCAAAATTTAAAAGCTACAATCATGAATCATTGTAATATTTCATATTGAACTGATATAGTAATCAATTTAATATTTGGTTCATATTGGCTGAAAAATACATTATAAGATTTAAACTAATGTTAAAGATTAATTATATGTTCATGTTTAGAAAAAATGATTCACATTACATTATCCGTAAAATATACAATTTTTTACGATATAAGAAATAGGGATGGCGTACATTTGATATTTAAATATTTTCCACATTTCCATATAAGTTTGAAAAAAATAATAATTTGGAACTAGATGTATCAAAATTACTTACAATATATATACAGTAGAACCTCGATTATTCGTGTTTGCAATTAACCGTGCCCACACTTCCGAAAATGTATATACATTTATATATGTGTATACGTCTTCTTATGTATATTTCTAATTACAATTGAATCAAAATTTTTAAAATTTCATTATTTTAAAATTGTACCTATGTACTTCTAATTATAATTAAATCAAAATTTTTAAAATTTCATTATTATAAAATTATACCTATAAATTTCTAATTATAATTAAATAAAAAATGTTATTATTATAAAAAGTCTCGATTAACCGTGATTTTCATTTATCTGTGTGACCCTCTCCCCATCATTACCCCGGATAATCGAGGTTCTACTGTATATATATATATATACATATATATAATCAATTAACATAAATATACAACATTTATAATATTAATATTATTTATAATTAATTATTCAAAATTATCATCTGTATATATAACATGTGCATTGAAACTTGTTTTTTGACATTATTAAGAAAAAATATGTTACCAAATTGTATATATTTATTTAAACATTTTAGATTTATTGATATATTAATAATTTTTAAGTCAATAAACAGAAAATTCTCTACGAAAGTGGTTCAAAATCAATGTTCTATGCTCAATAAATTATAAAACAACTTTTACATTCATATATTTTATATATTATGTTCTAGAGAAATTATAAATTAATTAACTACATTTTATATCATTGCTATTGCGAGTATTTACAATGAAATATAGAAACAATCAAGAAATTTAACCAAAGATTCTTATTACGCAGT